GAAATGACAATCTGACGTTGCTTTACGTACTCTGTAGTGCACATGTTCAGTGGCAGATTGGTTCATTTTAGAGAAAGGAAGGGGGTCAGAGAAGGGTCAGATCTTTTATCATTGCTGTATGGCCAAAAGTTCCCAGACATTTGCATATCTTATATTTTGTTTAAACCAAGGTTTTTATTATGAAGATGATTTTCTCTTTGCTGCGCAGCCTTTATTATTCTGGGAAGGCTCTGCACTGGATAGAATATAGTTTGTGGGATTTGCTTCTATTCATCTTCAAGGCCATTAGTAAGGATGTTGGGCAGATGTGTCTTGTTCACAGTCAGCATTGCAATTCATCGTATAGCTGTGCTTTGGGGCTGTTGGCCCTTCATGTTCTCTCAGAAAAACTCTCTGTTTGGCCCTTGCTTTGTGCATAAGTGAATTCTTGTGATGAAATGAGAAAGGGCTATTCCCAAACTGTGGCTCCCGAGTAGAAATAGGTTTGAAAAAACAGTCCTAGACCATTACTTCTCCCTCAAAAAACTTTACAATCCATTAGTTCAGGCAGGTAGAGTTCCATCAAATAATGGTAACATTTCTCCAGCACACAGCCCAGCTAATTAGCACAAGAAGTATAAATACACTGTTTCAACATTTTAGGTTTAAACAGAGGTTTTTATTGCATACACTTGTAAATACAGGAGAATTATGGGAACGTTGAAGGCACATGGCCACATTAAAGGAGAACTATGAGGTGAGTGCTTTTCACTCACCTCATAGTTCTAGCCGACCTGTGACAATGAGACTGTCACAGGTCGGCTCAGTAGATCGGGAGGTGAGCGAACACATACCGGCGTTCGTTCACCTCTCGATCCTGTCACGGCTCTCTGCCGTGACAGGCCCAGATAGCAAGGATAACTTGCCACAAACTTGTGTCGGGGTTAAATTGTAATTTTGTTAACTTGCTGCACATATTCTTGGCAAGTTGTAGACTTGCAGAACACTTGCAGCACAAGTTCTAGTTGACACTTTTTGAATTCCTAGCAAATTTGCTTGGCAAGTCTACAGCAAGAGTCCTGACGGTCTTAGCAAGAGCTCTGCAAGCTCGCTGGTCTGGAGACTTGCAATGGAGACTTGCTGTAATTGTGCAACAAAATTGTGAAGCTTGGCAAGTCTGCAAGAGTTTAGCAAGTCATTTTCAAACTTGCAGCACAATTTCTTGCTATCTGGGGGGGAGGGGCTGGATTCCCCCCTCCCCGCTCCGATCCGCCAGTGCTGACTGGCGGAACGGACGGGGGAGGGGCGGGTACAGCTGGCTCTGCCTCTAGATAGGCAGAGCCAGCTGTCAGTCACGCAGCTGGGCGGATCCCGGCATAATTGTCGGGATCCGCTTCAGCTGCGGCATCTCAGTATACTGCGAGCAGTAACTTGCGATATACTGCAGCGTCTCAATATACTCAGCCTAGGGTGACGGGAGGACGCTAGTTTGTGTCCTCCCGTTACCCTAAAGAGAACTATGGGGAAAATCCTTAACCCCATAGTTCTCCTTTAAGGCACCTCTGCAAAGTGTGATCCCTAATTTTAAAGTATCTAAGCTCCCAATGCGGGACATATACTGTATACACAACATAGAAGAAATATAGAAACATAGAAGGGGGACAGCAGAAAAAGACTAAGTGGTCTATCGTGTCTGCCCTTTTCTTATTTTTGGGGGGATTTTTTTTCTTTTTTCTTTTTTGTCTGAGCAGAGATCTACATTTGTACCAAGCATGTTACTGTTCACTGATTCACCACCTCTGATGGAAGTCTGTTCTAAATAAGGTCTAATTAAAGATCTATGTAAGGGGGTCAGCACCTCCTTCCTCCTGCTAATTATCCTTCGGTAAATGCACCCCTTAATTCTATTTACTTTTCCAACTGCTAGCAAACATTTGGAGAAAGCACCCCCAATTTGTTTTCCTCTGTAGTTCTGACCAACACCGTTCCCCCATAATGTCTCCCCATTTTTCCCTAGGTGCATTATTTTGCATTTAAAAACAACGAACTGCAATTTACACTGCTTTGACCAATCTTCCAGTAATGCGAACTCATGTTCCATGTTACTAACATTTCCAAAAATACCAACCACATTGAACACATTTATGTCATCAGCAAAAAAAAAAAACATATCTCACCTATAAACAGATCAAATAGAACAGGACCTAGTACAGAGCCTTGTGGCACACCACTAGTAAATTATCTCTGTTCTGAATGAGCCCCATTTACAACCACATTCTGATACTGTATGTACCTTTAGCCAACTACGTATCCACTAAGTATCCACTTAGGCATGATGATATTATGGTGGCACCAACTAAATTGATTACATTTGGTAAAACTAAAGGCTCTCTATTTAGTGAGCTCTCAATTGACTTTGACTCGCAATTGCCAAGTCATTCGGCCATGGTAGAATTTTCTTTTGATGGATTAAACTGATACCTGTGTGTGTTGTAAAACCAATCATAATTCAGATCAATTAGATGATCATTTAATAGATTATTTACTTTACGAACGGATAGATCATATTTTCAATTCATATTTTCAGTTGATTGCAAAGTGCGGAACAATAAAGTGTGTGCTGCATTGCTTGATACTTTAATCAATTAAGTTTGCTTCAATGTCTCTTTGTATTATAAGTAAATACAGACGGTATCTGCATGTCTTACGTCTCTTTCTTTCAGCCCACCTTACCATATCCTGTCTGGGTTTACTGTTTTGTATTTGCGTTAGGGAAACCTATGTTGTTAAGCTTGTATAGTGATTGTGGCAGTACTGCTTCTAGAAAAAGTTTGAAACTTGGCTCTGAATGTTCCACCCCAGGGCAAGCAATTTGTAGGCACTCTAATTTGTAATCCTTCTCTGTAATTTTGTGTGAAAATAATTATTGTTGCTCTAAAGCTCTATCCACTTGACCAAGGCAAGGTAAAAATGATTTCCTATGATCAAATGTAGTCACTAAGCTCTTCGTTACGACCCATTCTACTATCAATCCTTGTTTCTGAAGATTGCATAAGCTATCTGCCTAATGTTTTATACCTGTGTCAGCAATAGGATGGGATACAATAGACAATTCTACTAACTAGGTTTATAAAAATAATTTGACCATTTACTGGTTTATGAAATGCATGCAGCAAGTAGTTATTATAACTCTTATAGCAGAAGCAGAACTAAACTTGCTTTAACAAAAAAAAAATCACCAGGAGGTAGAGTTTTTCAGCAGAAAAGAGATGCAAAGTCTATTTTCCCAGAAAAAAAATCTCTGGCTCCTTGTGACTTTTAGTTTTTTTGTGTACACTGTACGGCACATGCTGAGAATAGAGCTGGGTGCTAGAGACAATGAAACTCCGGCATACATGTGGAGGAAAATATATTATCGGTGGCCAAGCAATAGCAGAAGAAGATCACCGCAGGACTCAAATGAATTGATGGTGGAATTGGCGGTGGTGTTGGCAGCGGCAGAGGGCACAGTGGTGAGAGGATCCTAAAGCCATCATCAGAGGACAGTACAGATGGAGGTAGGTGTTTGACTTATTCTGCAAGATGCTGTACATTCTTGTAGATTATGGCAAAAGCTCACCCACCAATAAGTTTACTTCCACATTAAAGTAGATCTATGCCCAATCACTAAAATCTCCAATAACTTTTAACATATTATTGTAATTTCAGAAGTGTTTTATTCTTTTTCAATCTGCAATTTTAATTAATAGAATACTTGGTGACACTGTCATGAAGTTCCTTGTTTAGGTTCTTCCTATCATGCACCACTGGTGGGGACTACAAGTGGCCTTCCAGTGCACTTTGCATAGGCATGGTCCACTGGAACACACAGGGTCGGTGCTAGACTAATTTGCGCCCTAGGCAAGATCTGCTACTTGCACCACCCCCCCCCAAATCTTTTTTTTACATTTTTTCGAATTCCCCAGTGGACAGGCTAGTCCCATTTCCTCTCTGCAGACCAGCTAGCGCCATTCTCCCCAAAACACTCTGGTAGCACACAGGGTCCACGTCCTCTCCATGATGTCCCCAGCCCTTCCATAGCACACAGGGTCCATGTCCCCTCCATGGTGTCCACAGCCCCTCCATAGCACACAAGCTCCATGCCCCTACATGCTGTCCCCAGCCCTTTAATAGCACACAAGGCCCATGCTCCATCCATGGTGTCCCCAGCCCTTCCATAGCACAGTGTCCATGTCCACTTTATGGTGTCCCTAGTCCTTCCCTAGCACACAGGGTCCATGTCCCCTCCATTGTGTCCCCAGCATATAGGGTCCATGTCCCCTCCATGGTGTCCACAGTCCTCCCAATAGGGCACAGAACCATAAGCCTATACAGGAAATATTAGAGACTCTTACATGCAGGCGATGTAGGGGTGAGCAGGCCTTCATAGGACACAGATCAGGCTTGGCATTCTCCTGTAGCTGGACTCCGCCCCATCACACGTCTCTCACTGTGACACCCGGGCGACCTGTAAAGGGTACAGCAGAGGAAGTAGCTGCTAGAGTGCAAACACTCCCACTAAGCCGGCCATGCCCCCCCATGGCTCATTAGTCGTCTTCAACAGAGGCCAGTCCCTGGCTGAGGTCACGAGGGAGGAGTTCTGGAGATAACCTAGCAGTATCGGGAAGCCGGCAGAGTGTGAGGAAGCCACTGGTTGAGGCTGCGCACTAGGTGGCAGTGCGCCCCAGGTGGCAGTGCGCCTTAGGCAGCAGTGCGCCCTAGGCGGCTGCCTAGTTTGCCTAGAAGCAGCTCCAGCCCTGGGAACAGAAGCAGGTCTGGATTATGATGTGCAGCCAGAGCTGGAGCAACTGCATTTAGACAAGAAGAGGCTGAGAAAGCTGGAGGAGACAAAACATGTAGAAGCTGTAGTCAATGAAAATAAAGGATTTTGCTTTTAGCAAACTAAATGTCATCCAGTTAGGGTTTAGAGCAACTTTATTATACACTACTAAGAGGATTCAAACTTCTTTTTTTCTACACAGAACACACACTTCTCTGACTTTGCAGACAAGCAAACGGGTTATTGTACAAACAATCTACTGGCCACACCTGTCTTATACGGAAAAGAGGTCCTAGCGGTTATAATGGCCATCAACAAACAAAATGAACCAGCCTTTACCAAAGAGGACGAAGAGGTAATACGTTACAAAAACAATATGAACTTCACTATGAAAGTTAACATGACCTGCAAATGTAATTTTTTGTACCAATTTTCCAGGTATTTACCAAATATCTGAATTGTATATCAATGGTTCTTAAACACTATCATGTGAACTACCTTTACAACATCGAATTAAGGAAAAGTCAGGTAAGACATTTGTTTTAAGAATCAAACTATTTGTCATGATGTAATAATCTAGGTATGCTGCTCCTTGCTGAATTAAAGGTTAAAGTGACATTAAAGGCTAATTTTTTCCCCCTCCCCGCAATGTTAGTGTAGGAACTTACCTTAAATTATGCCTCTTAATCTGATCTTCTTCTTAGTGTAGATTTCAGATGTCCCTCCAGTGCTGGTGCCGGTCTCCGATCCAGCGCTGACTCCTCTGTCCTCCTCTTCTTTTATGTCCCACGGAGTAAGTGCAGGTGCACGCTGCTCCATAGACTTACCTTGTGTCTCTCCTCGTGTCCCGCCCGAACATCTGAACTGCACATGCGCCCGCCCCAAGATCCTTTTGCGGCCGCCCGAGAAATTTTCAGATGTTCGGAAGGGAGCGCACGGCGGAAACACAGGTAAGTATTAACCCTTAGAAAAAGTTTTTTTTTTTACGTTTTGCATATATCTACCCCTTGTTAGCAGTAGATATATGCAAAAACATGCAAGGGTTTAATAAGCAGTGAAAACGTATTTCTATCTGGAAACTGATCTTCAGTGTTAATTATTAATTTATCAATAGCACACCAAAGGTGAGGGGGCATGGCTTGCTTATTTAGGCTTTATATTGGCCATTATCTAAAGCAGAAATAGAAATGGTTAGGATATCCTACCACAAGAGTGTATGGGAAAAAGTAGTAGGTTATTCCACCAATCTCTGTTCGATTTGACTTGGTTATTCCACCAAGCTTTGATTTGAAGCATCAGACTTGGCTAGTCCTTTAATTATAAGACCACAAAAAAGGTTCTGGGTGGCTAGTAGTAGTTAGTTATACTCGTAGCCATAATCAACTGGACTTGTAATGCTAAAGATATTTTGCAGCTTATATATCAGAAATATGCTTTGGTATCAAGACAGATGTTGATTGCCCAAGAACACGTTGGGAGGTGTGAAAGTTTGTGGAACCACACTGTTATAATTACATAATCAGATTAAATGTTAGGACCTTATAAAAGTGTTTGAAATTGTGCGATGTCCATAGCATCAAATAAGTCTTTCCCTAAAGCAGGTTATAAGATAAAAGTGTGTAATGTGTAATACGTATACTGTACATCTGGTCTTCTATTTGTTATTAATAAAACTCTCCTACTTTTCAACAGGATTCATAGGCGATCCTTTCATGACCAACAATTTGTGGAAGAGCAAATACCAAGTACACAAAAGAAGCCTTGCTCTAGATCAATAACCATATGTTTGTATTATGCAAGTCCCTGGTACATAGGCAATCCACTTGACTAAGCAACTAAGCTGTTATCAAGCAAAACATGTCAGAGAAGGAGCTCAGGTGGATTGCCTATGTACCAGGGACTTGCTTAATATGAACATATGGTTAATCATCTGGAATGTGGTTTCCTTCTTGTAATTGGTATTTGCTTTGCACAGCTAAGACTAGCTGAGAGCTGACACCTGGGACTAAGTGGGGGACAGGTTTTTGGAGTGGAACACTCATCTGTTTTCATGTGTGTGTTGGTGAGCGTGCAGTGGGACCAGAGTTAAAGGATATCTAAACTTCTAAAGATTCTAAAGTGAAGTGGAATTAAACCCCTGATTTGAAAATTTGAAAGCTGGACTACAACCGCCTGTCCCTTACCACCAAGGGAGGTGCCAATCCTAATCTCTCTCTCTCTCTCTCTCTCTCTCTCTCTATCTCTATCTCTATCTCTCTCTCTATATATA